TAACCTTTAATATAAGCTTTACATATAGGTAAAATTGTATACTTAACTAGTGCTCTAAGCTTAGAGCACTAGTTAAGTATACAATTTTACCTATATGTTCCCAAAAATTCTAGTTTAGCTCTTCTCAGTTGGGATTCAGGAATCTGTATTTTAACAACCCCACCAGGTGATTCTCATCATGAGAGAAGCTTGGGAAACACTGCTCTAAAGAGAAGGAAGGAAGGAGGACTGGAAAGGAGGAAAGAAAAGGGAGGAGGAAAAAGAGAGCAGAGAGGAGAAGGTGAGTAAGGAGGGAAGAGCAGATCAAGAGAAACAACAAACAATAAAATAGCGCTACAGCAGAAAGCACAGGGCAGTGGCTTTGTTCAGAGGAAATAAAGTTCTTGACTTATCTACAAATACTATCGAGATGAATAAAATATCTTTCCAGAGAAGCTGCAGGAAGAGAAGGGCATATACCAGAATTTTTCTAGCTCCACTAAGAAGCTCTTCCCCTGGGTACACAGGGGAAGCAGGTGGCACACTCTACACCCAAATCCATGCACTGAGAGTGGACTTTGACTGTCACACCGCAATACCGGAGTGGCCTGGCTCTCTCCTAAGTTATAAACAAAGCATCATTTGCTAGTAATTACTGTTTTTGTCCAGGCAATTTTAAAGTGATTTCATTAAATAATTGTAAAATACATACAGTCACAGAGCTTTGAGGATGAAAATAAAGTAGGATTCCTTAGTGAATGAACGAGGACACTGGGACCAGGGGTGAAACTGACTTGTCCAAAGTCCTTGATCCCAGCGAAGATCACAGGCCCCTGACTCAGGAGCTCTTTTCCCTCTGACCTCAGTTTCAGCACGCATCAGTTTTGTACAGTTTTTTTTTTTTTTTGACTTTGCTCGCATTTGTCACCCATCACAGACTAAAATATTTTAAAAACTAGACTTTTTTTTTTTTTTCCTTTCATTTATTTTTGTAAGAAACAAGCACTTTGCCTGGCCCCAGAGTCTTGACTTCTACACATACCGCTCACCTGCCCCTAGAAATTACACTGTATGTTTCGGTGGCATTGATGTTTGAGAAAGAATGAGAAAATGCTACTCAGGTTTTTATCACTAAGTACAAAAACAAACAACAACAGACTAAAAACATGAGAACTCAAATCTAGAGGAAAGAATGAGAATGATATAAAGTCGGTAAATAAAGGCAAGCACAACCGTGGCCCAGAATGCTAATCAGTTCCTGGGGAAAATAAAGGAGAGTGCTCTGGAGGCTGGAAGGGCGGGCTTTAGGATAAAGAAAAGGACTATTCACATTTGTAGAGTTCATTGTCACCTGATGATAAAGATGGAAAAGACAGGTGATTTTAGAAAGAGCAGACGGACCCCTCACTCACGTAATGGACTTTAAGGGAAGTCAAGTGTGCCCGAGAGCAGCTTCCCTAACCTTTGAGGTTGACCACAAACCAGAGAACCAAGTTTTTTCAAGAAACCTCGGGGCCATCTTCACATAGAATGTATTAGTCTTTTAAGTGTTTTTAATTGCTGTTAAAATGAATGTTTAGTGAGCATATATTCGTTTGTGCTCATCCTTTTCATGGGCCTAAACGCAACATAGATACTCGTTAAGTATTTACCAAATAAATTAATGCATGTATATTAGATCTAGAACCAAACTGCCTTTGAGGAATATGACAGTGCTCCTTTCCATGGAACAAATTCTATTTAAATTGCCAATTATTTAGCACCAATGATCTCATCTAACATTCTTCCCTTCATTGTAAGAGAAGCAGGCACTATAATTATCACTTTGCTTCGGAAATCATGAAATCACTTGAATCCTTCTTCAGCCAAACCTGGAACAAATTAATTCTGTGCTGGCAGGAAAATCTACTAATAGCCTCCACCCCACACAGAAGCAGAGTTCAGGGCCAGCTGTCCAAAGCTGCGCTGGGCCTTCATATCGGGCCTCTGTGGGTAAACCCCACCGGACTCTGGGAGCTGAGGTTCATGGCGGGGTAGGGACGGGTGGAGTGTGGGGTGGGAGGTGATATAGTTTCAGCAGGGGAGACAGATGTCCCAATAGCCAGCAGACAGTTGATAATTGCGACTTCTATGACATAACACTCACACAAGATAAGCGTTCCAATGACTATTGTTTCTTGTAAGAACAATGGCTTCCAGTTAACACATGGCACAGAGTGAAATGATGCAGAGCACTGACCTGCATACAGTGTGCGCACACACACAGAATTAAAGGATGATGAGGACACCGGATGTCCAAACACTGCCAAAATGTGAACCCACAGAGATAATAAAAGTGCGGGTACCAGCCAAGCGCTGGAAATGGAAAGGATTACAGCAACATTGCAGCACACAATCTCATGTGCCAATAGCTAGACCACAACAGCCTGGCACCATTAGACAACCTGTACTATACATTCCACTTGTTTTTGTTTGCAAAGGACCTGGCAATAAGACATCCCAAAAAACCATCACCATCCCCAACCCATCTCTAGAAATATCAAGGTCAAAGGCTCAAGATAAAAGAAAGATCAATGCAATAACACAAAATACCTTTTTAAATGAAAATAGAGAATCATCCTATATAATAAAAGGCTAATATTCAAATCAACCAAGTGGCGGAACAATTGGTTGCTATGACATGCACTGACCACCAGGGGGCAGATGCTCAACGCAGGAGTTGCCCCCTGATGGTCAGTGTGCTCCCACAGAAGCTGGGCTCTGGTGAGCACAGCAGCAGTGGTGGGAGCCTCTCCCACCTCCATGGCAGTGTTAAGAATATCTGACTGATGGTTTAGGCCCACTCCCAGAAGCGGGCCTAAGCCATCAGTCAGATATCCCCTGAGGGCTCCCAGACTGCGAGAGGGTGCAGGCCAGGCTGAGGACCCCTCAAAATGCATGAATTTCATGCACCGGGCCTCTAGTACATATATATTAACACAATATGGGAATTAAGCGGGGGCAGAGTAAGCAATCCCACAAATCCTATGACCTCAGATTAATGGAATTAAGCATGCAGACTTAAAAGCAGAAGTCCTTATACTGACAGCTCGACCTAAATCACAGGTATCTCCAAACAATACTTACAGGCTCTGGAAGCAGAAAAAAGAGCCTGGAATGACTATCTCCTACTTGGACTCTACACAGCTACCATCCCTTATAGCCGATCACGAATGAAAATCCAGCAGAGGGAAACACGGACGCTTTGGGCAGCAATGAGAGCTTGGTGGAGGCCAGGGACCATGGCACTGGCCCCAAAGGCAGGTCCCAGAACTCAGACACTGTGAACAGAAAGCTTATCCATGTTCTGTCCAGTATTCTGCTGGTGGCAAAAGGAAGGCTGTGAGGCCTACAACAGAGCACCACATGGGCAACTTCTTCAGTGATATTTCCCAACAGTGCATAAGTTAAAAGGTATACTCTAAACTTTTTAAAAAACAAATGTATACTTAGGATAGCCATAGAATTTGAGGCTCCCCAAGCCATCTTAGAGACCTACCCATCCAACTCTCGTTTAAAATAGGGCAAAGCTGTTAGGTAACCTGACTACAGTCAAAGAACAAGTTAGTGGCAGAAGCAGGACCTGACTCTCCCCACAGTTCGTTCAACACTTTTTCCACTCAGGGAAAGTGACCTTGAAAACCGGTCAGATGATAGAGGCACAATTTTATTGGTCACGGTAACAACAAGCCACACAAGTACACAGTAACAGTTTCAGAGAGAGAAAAGCACCCAGAGAGTGAAAGCCTTCATTCAATGTATGCAACATTTTTTAAATTGACATTAAATTATTGGAAGCCCTTAATTTAATCTGAGTTTTTGCTGGCAATCTGATGCTTCAATCCCAGTGAAATCTATGCCTTGTGTAGCCTAATTTAAAATGTAAGGCCAAACAGATCTGGAAAAGTACAGCCTATCCTTGTACTTAATTTATACTATAGTGGGCTGTAATTAAGCCTGAAATAAAAGCTATATTCTGAGTAAAGACAAAAAGCTCTTGTTAAAGGCATTCCATTCCTAATGTCGAATATAACAAAAGCCTTTTTCATTTGGAACCAGCCGTCATTATAGTTTGTAGCTTGCATGGGGCTGTTGGACTAATATTTGTACTGGGATTAGTGTTGGGATAACCAATCAGTTAACTCCTCCACTGTGGTCTTCTATTATTCCCAAATAAATGGCCAAAAGGCAAAGGAGAAAATTGGCAGGCAGAACGACAACTATATTTATGAGATTAAACTCGCAAACCCTTCACAGTTTGCCGGGCAACTAATAAACCATTTGCCAAGCTGTTCATTTAATAATGAGTCACTTAAGCCAAAAGCAAATGTTCCTTCAACCAACCAACGCCACCCGCATTACCACCAAGCTGACAAGCTCCAGTTATTTATGTGGTGTGCTTCCATTTACAGTAAGAAGTATACAGGATGTCGTGTGCTAAAACAACAAACTCCTCTTACTGGCCCGACGTAAGCCACCCTGCAGCCTTCTGAGTAACCGGGATGCGTAGGTGATTTCGTAATTCAGGAAAGCCAAGAGGACCGACGCACTGTTCGGGGAGTGATTCCCATTGGTGTCACGACTCTACACTGAGGGCCGGAAGCTCCCCACCTCGCCCTGCGGTCAGTGTCACACGGCCTTAGCTCATCTAACTGGGTCTGTTCCCTCGTTTTATAAACCGGTGTCAACACCGAGACCGTCCCCACCCAGGAATGATGAGGGCCGAGCAGCATGCTGTTTGTCCGGGCACAGCACGGTCCCAGAACTCAGACACTGTGCACTGACCTGCATACAGTGCGCAGAGCACGGTGTACTCTGCAACACAACCAGGAGGCCCGGTGTAAGGAAACGGTGTGGGGGCTGCCTGCTGAGGGACGCACGTCTCATCTCAAACCCACCCCCCGCGCTGCCTGAGCTCTCTCCTCTCCCGCTGCTCGCTCCCATTCCGCTCCACAGACCCGTGGCCCTTCCCTTTTACTTACAAGCAGCTCGTCCATGCTGGTCTGGCATTTTTCCAAGTTGATCCGCTTTATGGCCACGCGTTCCTGCCTGGGTTTGCAGAGGGCAGCCTGGACCACAGCAGTAGCTCCGCTGCCTGAAGAGAAATGGAGACGACACAGGCTCTCAAACGGCACACTTTCTGGTAACCGCGCACAACACACACACCCCTCCACCAATATCTTTTTTAAAAGGTCTTCTGTTCAAAGTATGCAAAGCATTACTATTACTATATGGTATCTTTTTTTTTTTTAATTTTAAATGTATTTTATTGATTTTTTTTTTTTTTTACAGAGAGGAAGAGAGAGGGATAGAGAGTTAGAAACATAGATGAGAGGGAATTATCCATCAGCTGCCTCTTCCACACCATCTACTGGGGATGTGCCCGCAACCAAGGTACATGCCCTTGACCGGAATCGAACCTGGAACCTTTCAGTCCGCAGGCCGACGCTCTATCCACTGAGCCAAACCGGTTTGGGTTATATGGCATCTTTTTACAGACTTTCTTAAGTAGGAAATAATTATCTGGAGGGAGGGAAAGGGGAAACACTGGGCTTTCCTACAGGATACAAAGGCAGGGCTGAGCTTCCCAAGCCAGGAAGGTGACCCCATCAAAGGAGCTCCCTTGGGTACAGCGCCTTTACTGCTGCCCACAACGAAGGGACACGAGCATTAACCACCAGCCTGCTTGGCAGCCATCCCCATCCGCAGGTCCTGGTATTTCTAACATCAGGGCCTTTAAAAAGCTCGGGCTCTTCTTCCACGTCAGCCCAAACCACTCCGCCTCAGCCTGAGCTCCCGCAGGGTCTCCCCCAGGTCCTGTGCAGCTCACCTATCTGCTCTGAGCGCCCTTGGAGCCTCTTTCGCCTGCACTTGCTCTACAATCAGAAAAGCAGAAATCGACCTGAGAGGAAAGCGGGACTTCCAAGGATGCCAAGCAAAAGGATGCAGACGTGTAATTACGAAATCTGTCGGCGTTCCCGTGAACCGAATTTCCTTTTCCTGAGGCTCCCCGATCGCTACCTAATGCACTCAGACTCCCAGGAGACCGAGTCATGTCGTTATTCATATTTTTAAAAGAGCAAAATGTAGACATGTAATGATTTGTGGCAGAGCACAAAGAGCTCCTAATTGGATTTACTAGTGTATTCCACGGGGGCAAGAGACCTCCTCTAGGTTAAGGCAGCTCCACTCTGCAAAGAATACCAAAGACCTCCTTCCAAGACTGTGCTCAGGACTCTGCAAAAGGGGCCTGGGAGTGACCAGATACCATCCTCCTTACAGTTTTGTTTTCTCCAGGCACTACCTCTCCAATCAACTACCTTCAAAAGGGAGAAGGAGCATCTTCTGGCCACAAGGAAGAAATCAGCACTATGTTTTCTTATGTATGTGACAGGAAGGCAGGACATTTCTAGTGCAGACCCTGGCTTTACCCCCCCAAGGAAGTGCCCGGAATGGGGGTCTGTGAGCTGAAGTTCTGCCCTTCCTCCTGCCCTGCAGCCTCATCCTCCGCCCTGGACCCTAAGTGACCCGCCCACTCCAGCAGATCCCCCTGACGCTCCAAAGCCAGGTCTCCAAGGTCAGGCTCGCCGCTGCAGGAAGGCCAGCCTGTGTTCCTGAGGGTCATGCTGACTTCCACTGCACAGCAGGCACTTCACTCAGACAATTCTCCCTACAAGCCTCTGCTTTTTATCAGCCTCATTTTGTATGTGAGAAACTGACCTACGCAGCTGGTAAGTACCTGAGCTGGGACCTGAGTCAGGTCTGCCAGACCCCAGCCTGTTCCCTACTTCACACAGACCACAGCACACACTCCTTTCCTCCCTTACTCCCTCCCTCCCTCTGGCCTTGCTACGGAAATATCTTCTTCTGTCCTATATGGTTGAAGAAAAGAGAAACAGCCCAACGGGCCTCTCTCTCTAGAGTTCAGTTGCAGGAGTGCGTGCTGTTGTCAGCGGGAGCTGAGGAGGGCCTCCCTGTCCCTAGCCTCCCTGCCTGCTCCATCAGTGGCTGCTCCCGGGCCCACTGGATTGGCCTCCCTGGCCTGCAGATTGGCCTGCAGATCACAGTGTGCTGGGCTCGATCCAACATGCTCCAGATACCAGCGCCAACCACTACAAAGAGCCTGCTGATAACGAAGTGCATTTTTCCAGTCAAGGTCTCCGGAGCAGCAGACTGTGGCACAGAAAGGGACACGGAGTTAGTTAGCTCCGGGTCCGGTACCCAGCAGAGAAGTCAACAAACATCTTTAACCAGCTCTGAGGGGAAGTCCGTCTCAGCCCTAGCTGTGGTAAACCTCCTTCCAATCCCACGCCTCCCACCTTAATCCCCATCCCAAACATCCTCAGACCAGGGGGGACTGAAACACAGGGGAACGGAAACCAAATTCCCAAAGGGATAAAACAGGTGCATGGAACACGGGGCGACCTCTCCTAGCCGAGTCCTTGGCTATAAAAGCCCCCTGACTTCCACAGACGCATGCAAGACTCTGGGATACAAACACGAATTCTACAGAGCAGGCGGGCGGGAGTAGTGGGAGGACGCTTTTATTAAGAGCTTTACAACTGGAGCTTTGTCATTGCTTTACGACAGCTGGCCTAAGAACAACTGGCAGCTTCTCATCTCCATAGAGGATAAATATGAAACGTCAGGACCTGAGATGACTGTTTAACCATTCGCTGGACAATTTGGGAGCCCCTGCTTTGAGTCCAAAGATTTCCTTCAACTAAAAAAAGAACAAGGACAGTATCAGAGATGCAGGGAGCCTTAAAAGACCATCAAGTCCAACCTTCACTTGATGAATGAGGAAGGGAAGGGAAGAGACCTCTTAGCCAGAAACCCAATCGGCCAGCCCCAGGTCAGGACTTCCCAGCCTCCAGAGCAGTGAGAAATGAACTGTTTAAGGCGCCCCTTCTTTGGTATTTTGTTATGGCAACACGAACTGACTAATCCAACAGCCTCTCTGTGTCTATTTTAAGTCACTGTCCCACTGTCACCCGTGCTAAATAATGCCAGACAAATTAGAACTTCTCAAAAGCCTTCTAATGAAGTTTACAGCAATAAGAGGCAAGATTGGACTGAAGGGCCTCTGGTAACCAGGCCACTATAGTGACCAAGTCTGAGATTAGCAAGACCCTGGAAAAGCAGGTTAGACAGGGATTCTATCCAAGCCTGGTCCTATTCCCTCTGTAATGCTGGGCCTAATTTCCCTCCAAACCTCTGCTTCCTCGATGGGCCTAATAAGGTAACGTGCTTCACATCCCTGAAAACATCAACTCAATAGATGTTTGACTCTCTCTCTTTCTCTCTCTCTTCCTCTCTCTCTCTCTCTCTCTCTCTCTCTCTCTCTCTCTCTCTCTCTCTCTCGGACTCATTTCTGCATCTGTAACATGAAAGAGGTAGACTCTATCTGAGTTTATATGGCGCCCCAGGGAAAAGGGAGAGGGAAAAGTAGCTATGACTGTTTCCCTTTTCTTACCAAAAACATTCAGTTGGTTTAAAAGGGGGAGGAGGCTAAATGGAATATCAGAAACCGAAATGATTTCTAAGGTCTCCTACAGAATGAAGAGTCTAAGAGTCTAAAATACAAGAGAATAACCCAGAAAATTTAGGAACAGCTATGAATTAATATTCTACGGTTAAACTTCTCGCTGCTAATGTACTCTACTAACCTAAAAAAATAAAAAATGGTTTTAAAAAACCTTTGTCCATCCAGAGCACATGAGTTCATATCCTAGCCCTGCCATATATGAACCAGCTGCTTATCTTCGGATGACTTTCTCCACCTCCCCATGCCTCAGTCTCTTCATTCATAAGATGGCGATAACAGCATCGAGCTCATAGGGTGGCTGTGAGGATCTCGAATGAATGAATGCACTGTACGCCCTCGGAACTGTGCCTCGCATATAGGAAGCACTAATGAAATCTTAGCTAGTATTACCCCTCAGGGAAATTCCTCCAGGCCAATTTGTGTCCTGCCAATTTGTGGCTTTAATGCTACATGATATTTCATGATGCTGATGTACCACAATTTATTCGGCCCTTCTTCTGTTAGTGAATACTCTCTTTATTGCAAGTTTCTCACCCTCCCACCCACTCCCCATAAGAACAACGTTGCAATAAACATCTGGTAATTTTTAAAATGCAGATTAATTTACAAACATTTCTTAATGTTAAAGTTAAGACATGGGATAACCCATAAAAGTCAGAATTAAAAATAAACCAAATAAAAAGGTATATTGCATTAGCCTCTGACATGAATGGTGGTCAGTGGGAGACGTTCTGTCATCACACCCCACTGAAATGAGGAACTCCAGGCCAGAAGTTTAATAACCACTTGCCCATCTTCTGAGCACGTGAAAGGACTCCTTCATGACATGCTCACCTGTCCTTTCTCGGTGAATGTTAACTTTCTCAGAGCTGTCTCAGGCTTTCTCTTTGGAGGTGCTGGCTGGTGGCGTGTAGTAAACAAAACCCATGGCTTAGGTCCAGCTGGTGACTTCTTCCAGCTCTCTTTACCCAACTTACTCTACGCGCTCTATTTATATCAGGTGTCCAACCTCAAAGCCCTGCGGCCAAGGAGGCCACACGAGGGCCAGAAGCTGGCCCGGGCGTGAATGGACACACGTGAGCTGTGCAGGGGTGCAGGTGCCGCTCTGCGTCTGCCAGTGTCCGCTATGGGAGATGGTTGACCTAACATGGCAACAGTCTGATTTTTGCGGGAAAGCTGAAAACACAGAATTTTGTGTGAGATCCACCCCCTCCCCCAAATGTAATAACGTTAGCAATTCATTTTTTTTAAGTATTAAAATACTGTGAGTCACATAAAAGCTTGCCGTAGACTGTGATTTGCCTCTTTGCATTACTGCTATTTGGCTTCAGAGGTGTACCCTTCCTTCCTGGATGGTCCAATCTTTAAATTACTTGTTAGACAACACATGTGAAGTTGCCATTCTTCTAGATAAAAATGATCACATTTGCTACGGTTCAACATAATACAGAAGTGGACGCGGATCCGTGGGTCCAAGCTGACTTACTGCATGCTGCCGCCCACCTCATCCCACTATTTCACACGAAGAGAAAAGCACCAGAGCTACC